ACATCTTGAAAAGATTATAAATTAAAAAACAACAACAACACCAAAAAGCTACAACAAGGATCTACATTAATATCCACCCAAAGATTTTCTTATTAAAGATATAAGCTGGGTTTTAGCAGCTACAAACTTTGACCCTCTCAGGAATGTATTTTCTGAAAAAACAGCTTTTGCTAATTCATGCAATTTTGGGCGGTGCCCTTTTTTAAAAAAAGAAACAGAATACCACAAGGTTTGGAAAAACAGCCTCTTTCAGCTTGATCCAAATAATCAACCAGATACAATTGGGGGCTAAATTCAAAACAATTTAGGAATTTATGAGGTTACTAGTCAATTTGGCACAAATGAAATAACATTTTAAGAGAATACCCTGAAATTTCCATTAGATTACCGAATTGGAAATAACCATTCTGATATGTTTAGCAGTGTGGACACAGATACTATAACTGTATTTTCAGATAAACTCAATATCCATCCTGCAAATCATTCTAGGACGAATGATAAACCATTTGTCAGAGACTAGAGTAGACCAATCATGAAGACCTCAGAAAAGATATTTGGATGCTGTGATGTGCCTATGCATGTAAAGATCAAAGTAGTGGTAGCAATAGTACCCATCTAGAGTCATTTAGTTACGAGATGGGCAGCAAATAAATTTAATAAATAAATGAAATAGTATTCTCCATGACACTGACATAGCTAAATGGTGATGAACTTAATTATCCAATTATCCAGAGGTTTCATCATACTACTGCTTCTACTGGCTTGGACCAATGTTAAAACATTGGGAAAGATTCATTTTGTGAAAGATTCTAGAGAGGTTGGAAACTTATTTTCTCTCCCTTGCATTTAATTGATAACACCACAGTAAATTCTAGGAAAATACCCATTAGGTTATGTTAGGCTTTACTGTAAATGTGCCTTTTGAGATAAGGTCATTTTCTGTGAATATAAGTCATCATTTTATATACAAAATATAGCTACTTACTACAGGGAGTATTTCGATAGCTCACAAGCTGTGGAAATGACATGACAGCAGACATCTTGAGCTGATCATTTTGATCTGATTCTTCTTCAACAATCTGGTCAGCCCAAATTACAGCTTTCTCTCTGCGAATGAGCTGTTTTAACTCTGTGAAATCATCCTCAATAACACCATTGGCTAACTGCATCCCTTTTAAAGCAATATACTGTTTTCTTAAAATTGGAAGTGAAAAATTCAGGATTCTGTAACAATAAGAAGAAAATTGTAAGTATCTTAAAAACATCTTAGGTGACAGCACATTGAGTTTATTTAATATTAATAAAACCATGCACATATACAATTAAAATGAAATGCAAATATTTGGGAGCAAAAGATAGGAATTATTTCACTATTGGGTATTTTGATCTGAGATCTCCTTCCTTCCTTCCTCTTCCTCCCTCCCTCTTTGGCAGCTGCTTAAATCAATAGTAATTATTTTCCAGCAAAAATTCTCATAGTTCTCTTTAGCAAGATTTATTGAGTTGGATGAAATGAGGTTACAAAAATGTCAGCAGCCAAACTGTCTTCAATTTAGAACCAATAGACTGCTGTGTACATTAGTGTAGTTGTTTTCTGTTACCCTAACAGCTCTTTGATGAAGTGGCAAGGAGGCTGGTTTCTTCACTAACGGTTTGCAGCTGGTCACTTGCACATTGTTTCTTGAATCACTATCAGTTTCAGAATCAGCTCTTATACAATGTTTCATAGGTTAATCACCTGCAGCTGCTTCTTTTTCATGGGACATATCTTTTTTTGGCACTCTTGTTGTTTGCCAGAGTATATGTCCTTTGATCATCATACCTAAGAAAAAGCTTTGGAGCCAAACAAAATCAGGTTTAAGCTATTGTACGGGTCACCTGTAAAACCCATTTTATTTTTTTCTGAAGTAATTCCAGGAAAGGGCTAAAGTTATGCCTTCTTTGGAATGAGTTCCAGAATTGTTAGAAGAAATAGAAAAGTCCAGAATCTTTGACTTTCTTCATATTAATGTATGCTGCACAATGTGTATAAAAATATAGATCAACATACCACTTTCTTGCAAAAGGCTACTTTTGGTATTTTACGGCATTTTAAAGTTAGTGATAAAAAAGTAGATGGGATATTAACTATTTTTAATTGTTTTCTGGAAAATAAATAATGATTTTCAAATGATTTTCAAGTTATTAGAGATTATAAGATTTTGATGAGTATTTTTAAAAATTATTTGAACATTAAATTTACTCCAACTAATTTCATTTTATTATTTTAAATTCCTTTTTCCATTACTTTTTTTCACTACACATACAGTATAAATTCCATCTAAGAAGCATATCTAAAGTAAAACATAGAAGCTTACTCGTTTAAGACAATGATTATTTTCTTACTTGGGTATTTACATCATCTTCCTCAATACAGTGGAACTTTGGTACTTGTTGCTAATTTGTTCCACTAAAAGTGACAAGTACTGAGCAAACCATGTGACTTATCATGTGAGCCTTTATTTAGGCCGGAAGAATGAGAGCATCACGTGGCAGTCAACGCCAGCAAGTTCTATCTTGCGCACCGAATATTGGCAGAAAGATGAGTACTGGGACAAGATTTCTGTTTCAAAACATGTCAAGTACCAAATTGAATGAGCTTTGAAGCTGTCAGGTACTGAGGTATGACTGTACAATAATTGAAAGTACAAGTTCCAAATCACAGTAAATCTCATGTGACTATATTACACAGTCACATAGCATAATTTAATATGTTCGGCATGATTTTTATACTACTTGCAAAACAATTTGGCATAATATGTATTTAAGTGGAGGGGAAAAAAACCACGTTCTGAATGGAATGCTTTTAATTTTCTAAAAGGAAAATAAGATTGGCTCCATTTATAGCTTTTGCAGAAACATATCCAAATGATCCATTGCCATTTTAAATAGAAAGTTAATACTGATTTTATGGCTATCAAAAATAATTTTTAAATGAACAATATAATTAAATGAGGCATTTGTACTACAGACTTACTTTTCCGTCTGCTTATACTGCTGTTCTTGTTGGGATGCTAGCGTTTTCATGTATTCAATTTGCGTTTTCAAATCCTCAATTTCCAATTTCAAGTGACAACACTGCAGATCTCTATTTAGCTCCTTGGAAAAATTTAAAATTGAAATCAAAATTATGCACCATACAACTGAACATTATCAAAATAAAACTGTTGTAAGAACAATGCAAGTCATTTATTTCAACAATGGGCATGACTCCAGAGTTGTACAGAGCGGGATCAAAAGTCCAGAAGGCAGCTGAGACCCTGTGGTCGAAGCTCTGTGACACATAAAAAACAAAATATCAGTCATACGGTTGTGGATACCATCTGGACTTTCATGGCCATATCATAGGGGGCATCTCTACATGATTCATCACCTCATTATATAATAAGGAAAGTTGGGCAATGTTATACAATAACAGAACATCTTAATTTAGAAGAAATCAGGCAAGCTCTATATGAGGCGAAAGCCAGTGAATATCTTGATTATTTTTTTTTTTTGACAATTCACATCATTTTCAACCAAACTTGTCAATGGCAAAGAAACAGTGGATATTAGTTGCCTAAATTTGGTTAAAGCTCAGAACCATGACGACAATTGAATTAACATGTTTAAGATAAAAATGCAAAAAAGAAGTCCTCTCTTTGGTAGTGTGCAGCAGCTGCCAAAAAAACCAACACAGTTCTAGGCTACATAAACAGAGGGATAGAATCAAGATCATGTGAAATGTTAATACCACTTTATAATGCTTTGGTAAGGCCACACTTGGAATACTGCATTCAGTTTTGGTCGCCAGGATGTAATAAAGATGTGGAGACTCTGGAAAGAGTGCAGAGAAGAGCAACAAAGATGATTAGGGGACTGGAGACTAAAACATATGAAGAACGATTGCTGGTATGTCTAGTTTAATGAAAAGAAGGACTAGGGGAGACATGATAGCAGTGTTCCAATATCTCAGGGGTTTCCACAAAGAAGAGGGAGTCAAACTATTCTTGAAGGCACCTGAGTGTGAAAAAAGAAGCAATGGGTGGAAACTAACCAAGGAGAGAAGCAACTTAGAACTGAGGAGAAATTTCCTGACAGTTAGAACAATTAACAATCAGTGGAACAGCTTTCCTCCAGAAGTTGTGAATGCCCCAACCCTGCAAGTCTTTAAGAAGATGTTGGATGGCCATTTGTCTGAAATGGTATAAAGTTTCCTGCCTAGGCAGGGGGTTGGACTAGAAGACCGTCAAGGTCCCTTCCAACTCTGCTATTGTGTATCTCGTATATCTTGGGACGAAGACCATCTTAAGTCTTGGATCATTGTCAAGAAAATGAGTGTAAACTGATGACAAATCAGGGAAGGCCAAGAGAGTAGGCAAAAATGAAAACGCTGTCCAGGTGCTAATGCCTAGAAACCATCCAAAGGAAAGAGGAAGTACTGGCTCTAATGGTAGAAAATTATGAAAAAATATTGGAGAATACCCTTTGGCACAAGGTCTTTTAAAAACAAACAAACAAACATCATTATCACATGAATGAAAGCAAATGTGCATGTCCTAGGATAATGTTGCAGGATCCAATCTGGGTCGATCATCAGGGCCAGAGGTTTAACCCTCAGAGCTTTCGGACTCGTGCTGGAGTTTATCCTCAGGGAACCTTTCTCTACCAGAATGTAGAGAGAGGTTCCCTAAGGATAAGCTCCAGCATGAATTTGAAAGCCTGAAGACTAAACATCTGGTCTTGGTGACCGACCCAGTTGGATCCTGCATTATCACCACATATTGATTTATAAGATACCTAATTGTGAGGGATATCAAAATAGCATATATTAAAAAAATAAAATACATCATAAATACAACCATTAAAAAAACCCATAAAAAACCAAAAGAACAGAGAACACAGGGAAATACAGAAAGAATCAAAATATTCCTTCAGTAATGCACATTCTGATATTCACCCTGGCATAGGTCTCCTCAATTTTATTTTATTTTTTGAAAGAGGGGATAGGGCTGTTCAGACTTGAGAGAGGGGCAGATACCTATTCCCGAGGGCAGGACAATCATGCATACAATAAGATTATACATTAAAATTTTTAGTACTTAAATAATCACAACTATTGTGTTTTCTATTTATTAGCATGTTTCTAGATGCTGAAAGCTGCTGACCAGTTAAGTAGTGACAAAATGCATAACCTTCATTAAAGACTATTATATGGAAAATACTGTTTCAAGTATGCAACTTGCTTTTCCCCCCCTTATATTTTATACTTTGGCTTTTCTTCCGAATGTATGCAAATGATAGTTTATTATAAGAGTTGACTATACACCTGGTTTGGATGATACATGAAGATAATTGAGAACTCAAGGAGAGAAGTTATCCTATGCTTTCCTTTCTTTGGTTAATGAATAACATTCCCAAGTTTCCATTGACCTTCTGCTAAAGTAGGCACACCTATGACTTGTGGGCCACATCTGGCTTCTAATTGTAATAAGTTAACTAACCTTGAAGAACAGGACGATCTGCAACCAAGACTTGATTCTCCCTAGTTCTCACAAACATAAAGAGTGGGAGGAGAGGCACATTCATATTTGTAAGATTCTATTACTTAATCTTAAAATAAAGACATAATTAGCATTCATGACATTGGTTTCCTACTCTTGTCTACTTTGGAGGACTGACATCAGTCTTACAAATCTCAATGTGTCCCCTCTCTCACTTTTATTAGTCCTTTGTGAGGACTAGGGAGAAACAAGTCTGAGATGCATTTTAAAATTACATTTCTGCTGCTGACTCAAATTTCTTTTATCTAACTGTTCTCTTACAGTTTTCCCCTTGTTCCTCAAGGTTATTCCTACTGNCTTCTTGGATGAGAAGCGAAAGATCTTCAAAGAAAAACAAGAAAGTCAAGTCGCCTCTTGAAAAAGCACCTTTGGGACGATTAGAATAAAGTATTAGTATAGACATTTTGGTGAAGACAATGGACCCAATTAATTTACTGATCATACAGTCTGCTTCTCTTAACAGCGTTCTGACTCATGGAATTTTGAGATGCAAATGTTGCCCAATGAAGAGAGAACCAGGAGACAATGTCCAATGTAATATTTTAAAAGCAACAAATGCAACATGAAGTGAGAAAACAGCTTGCATTGAAAAGAATGGAAGGTTCCTACTATTTCATTATTATTAAAAATGAAGGCAAAAAGTGAAATGGAAGGATTTTTCTGGGCATGTGATGAATTATACAAGCAAGAGTGAGCAACAGATGATCCCATGTTCAAAGTCAGGATTTTGCTTTTCACCAGAATTAACAGCAATTAGCTCCTTTCAGTAAAATAATTGGCTTTGTTCCTGGTTATAAAGGAAGCAATGAACACTTTTCTCTGCCTTTAAGAATGTATTTATCCCTCTATTAATGCACAGTAAGGATGAAAAAAATGGAAAACCTGAAACTATGTCAAGAACCTTAATCCTGACAGGAATACTAGGAAGTGAACGCCTGGTTGGAAGCGAACTTCTTGTGTACAATTTACACATACAGAGGGCATGGATCACATTATCAGTCTGAACTGGACACATGAGCCTTAAATGCCAGATCCTTTTAAAGTTTGTGATCTGCTGACTTGTATACTAATTTATGCCCCATTCAGTAAAAGAAGTGAAATGAGAGCTTTTTTCAGAGTGAAAAGAAGATGAGAAAAACCCTCTGCTAAAATAATGACTTACTTTGTATTATTTATTTACTTTCTAAACCATTATTTCACTAAGTCTTAGCAATGATTCTTCTTATATTTTCTCCTTTCTGAAAATAAACTTCCAGGGTGTCTGTTTTCTTAGACTGCAAATTTACAAGCCTTTTCAAGCACTAGTCCTCGAGTCACCATCATTTAGTTAACATGGATATTCTGAAAAGAACCACAGTGGCCCAATGGTTAAAATGCAGTATTACAGGCTAACTCTGCCCACACCCTGGCATTTGATCCTGACAGGGTTTAAAGTTGACTCCGCCTTCCATCCTTCTGAGGTTGATAAAATGAGGACTTGGATTATTGAGGGCAATGTGATGACATTTGTAAATAGCTGAGAGAATGCTGTAAAGCACCATGGAACCATATACACCTTAAGTAGTGCTCCACCATTCCGCATACCAGGCGGCACAGAGGGAGGTTACAATATCTTTTTTTATGAAAGGGTTATCCCATTGGAGGCATCATGGATTCAAAGTATGGACTGTAGGGTGCCCAACGGGTAGCGAGATTCCACTGCAGATATCTCTCAAAACCAGGGGGAAGGGGTCCTTCGATTCCTCCCCAGATGCTGTCTCTGTGGTAGAGGGGCTGCATGTCAACTCCAGCTGGCATTCGGTGGGGGAGGGGGGGAATTGGGCCAGCTGCCAAGACTCGTGCTTACCATATGGAGATTTCCCTCTTCCACAAGCAGTCCAGCTGAGAACTCTACAGTGCACTTCATGATTGCCTGCCAGAAAGTTTCCACTGAGAACATTCCAAAACTGATAACTAACTGGAAACAATCCATGATTGATTGCTGGGTGGTTTTCACTCTGGGTCACGAGGTGATGGGTGTGCATGCGC